TCCTGTGAGGGAAAATAGCAGCTGTAACCTACAGTTCAGTAGATTTACTCAGAGATTTAGTGACAGTTGCTCATATTTTGTGTTTATGCTCAATATATTCCCCATGTCTCCAGAGTATATGGTAAGACATTTTCTTATGGGACATTTTCTTATGTGTGTATGACTTGTTTGTAAATTTTCACACATTCCTCCCCTTGATCAATTTTATAAAATGAAAGAAAATCCTGGTTTTATCTTCCTTTCTCTGTCCCTCATTCACATTATACCCCTGACTACCATCAACAGTAAAGGAAAATATCTTTCCTTTATCCATTTGAGAGCTATAGCAGTGTCATGGGATATGATCAAATGGAAACCACACTGACTCTCTTAAGAGATTACTCTCCTGTTTTGATGCAGCTCTAAAATAAGAAGGCCTCAGAAATTAGCAAGTTAAGTTGTCCTGCTAAGAATTAAGGTTTTGGTGGATTAGTAATTTTTAACTAGAGGATGCTCTAAAACTTGTGTTCGTGAAGAGTTCGCTAAGGTCCCAGGATCAGTGGAGTCTATAAGAAACTGCTGATGGGGGAGGGAGGGGAACCTCTGTGCTCAAATAATCTCTGCTGTACACAAAGCTTTCCATTAGCATGTCATCACTTGGAATCAGTTCTAAGCAAGTCTCTGTTAGGCAGCTAAAAATATTTAAGTAATGATTGCTGTGACACCTTAATGGAGAACAATAATCTCATTTTACGGAATTTTCTGAGATTTCAAAAATATTCTTGGTCTGAAACAAAAAGAAGACAAATCTTTCCAGAAATGTTCATGAAATGAAGACATAAGTAGCAGCAGATTTGGGATTTGACCCTAGCTGGGGGCTAGATTTTTCTTTTTCAGTGAATATCCTGATTATCTAGCTTTCTGGCACAATATACACTCTGTTTCTCAGTCTCAGAAGAAAAATTCTTGACTGACTTATAAATTTTTCTGTCACATAGACAAGATTAATTCTGTTGAGATTTTTATTTTGGTGAAAAAGACACTGCTTTGGCTTTTATTGCATCCCTTGGATTCATCCATTTCTCTGTTAGAAATGCCTGCTTTGATGTCAAAGATGACACTTCTGACTTTATTCCCAAAATATAGAAGGGATATTTTCATGAAGAACATGAACTAATAACCATCTGATCTGATAACTGTCTGATCTAATAACTCCAAAAGGAGATGACTGCCAGTATTAATTAAAACTAAGCTTTTTTTCTATGGTGAAGGTGCTCAAGGCCACTTCTAACAATCTGCCAGGCCATCAAAGTAGTCTGTGGTTTGCCAGTCTGAGTTACTGTCATTTTCTTGAGTTCATTTGCATTCTAACAGAGGGCTGTACTTTAAAAGTGCTCTAATGACCAGCAATGCAGGCAGCTGCTGCTCACACAGACAGATATTGGACCACTGATTCCTTAGTGTGTGTCTTCTGGCAGATAGGCAGAGAGGAGCTTTTATCTGTCATTGGAGTCATGGAGGAGCCTATATTTTACCCCTCATTTAGATGTCATTTCTGACTAAGTTTTACACTTCTAACTGAGCACTAAACTTAGTATGGTTTGATGTGGAAATTCTTACAAGTTCCACAATTGCTGTAGTTTACCAGACTCAAATGTGCACAGATTCATCAGAGTATTTTCAGCCTGGAGCCACAATGAGCTGAGAATCACACAGGCTAAATACATATTCAATTTTGCAACTGTGAGCACAGGGTTAAAGATTTAACTGTCCCATAGCTATTTGAAAGACATTTGTTGGAGTAACTAGATGAGAATTCTGCTGTTGCACACATCATCCTGAAATGACTCATGTCAGCAGCTAGATGAATAAGGCTGCCACTGAATGTCAGCTCTTAGAACTGTAATTTAACTTGAAATATTAAATTGTAGAACATACAGTGTTTGGCCAGTAATTTCCTAGATCTTGCATCAGCAATGATAGAAAAAAGTACTACACGCTGTTGTTAAACAAAACAAATTCTTCATGCACTTACACAAGACACCAGATTGATTATATGACACAATTCAACATAGGTCAATGGGAAAAAGAAATAAACCACAGAAGAACTAAATTTTTTTTGACAAACCTACCCTTTTCAACAAGTCTGGTAAGCTGATGACAGATTGAGTCATTTTTTATGGCAAAAGACAATAGATACTCTAGATGAGTAAACTAAAACTCAGACAACAGCACCCTAAATAGTGTTGGATGAAGATTTTTACAGACAAGTTTATTTCCTTTGAAATTCTGTATTTTATTCAACATACATATTAACAGTTTTGAAGGAAAACAATGCAGGCTCTTCTTTTTGTGTTTGATCCAAGGGCAATACAAGTCAGAGGGAGTTTTCTCACTGTCTGGAGCAGATCCTTTATTTGCATTTTCAGTGTAATTAACTTTGAGCTTCTTGGTTTATAAAAGCAGGGACTAATTTAATTTAATTTAATTTCTCTGTCTCACTTACTGTATGTACCCAGTGCTACATGTCAGAACTGAAGGCCACTGAAAACACTTTGTACAGGCAGAAAAGGTAAGGCAAAAGATCAGGAAACTCAGGAGAGTCTCTACTCTCTCAACCCTGACATAGGCTAATAAGACAGATCTTTCTCACAACAGCTTTTATTCTTCCTGTTATTAAGGCTCTTCAGTAGAGGAGGTTCCAGGGTCTAGTCCAGTACCTCAGGACCCTTACTGGTATGTATTTCACTAATATTAACCTGAAACTGTTTTTCTGAGTGCAAATCCACTGTTTCTTTCTCTAGAGCTGCCACAAGCAGGTTATTCCCTCCTTCTAGCAGCAACCTTGAAATATGTTAACACTTCCACCCCTTCCCAGATGTGTAGCATCATCAGTTCTTGGCCAGCATCCCCAAAAGCTCTTCTCCTTGTCCCTGCTCTCCCAGCTGGCTTTTTGGTGCTGCGGTGCTGGAGATGTGACATGGTACTCCAGCTGAGGTCTTGCCTCCTTGGGTTCAGAGCAGAAGGAGCTCTTCATATGCCTTGTATGCTGCAGTCCTGTTTATTTGTGCCAGCATTCCTTATTTCACAGCAGCAGGACACTTTTGACTCTTAGCAATTTGCAGCCGTCTTCTGCGCAGCTGCTCTCACACCAGATGTTTCCCATCTTGCATTTGTACAGATGATCATTCCCACGTACAGAGCTATGCCTTTTGGATTTTCCTCCTCTTTCTTTGCTTTAAATCTTTTTTCTGGATCACTTATCCATGATCATGTTCAATTTTGACCCCAACTTCCTCCAGCTTCCTTGTAGTCCTTCCTAACACGTTATAATCACAAATGCCATGTGCACAGCTTGCTCTCTTGGTCAAGAGTATAATGCTGGCTGGTACCAGCTCCAGCACAGATCACAAGAAGTCAGCACACCTTTCCATTTTGATAACTACCCTCCAAGTACAATTTCCAGATGCTCTGTACCCATGTGATGTGTTCTCATTTTTCTTATGAGAATGTCATATAAAGCCGTGTCAAAAGCTCCCTTTAAGGCCAAGATATATGGCATCAACTGCTTCTGCTCTGTCTCTGAGGCCCTGGGTGGCCAAAGAAGGAAATTAGATTGGTTTGATGTGATTTGCTCTTGTCAGATCCTAGTTAATTCTTACTCATGTCCTTATTCTTAGTTATGAGCTTACAAATGGGGGGTTGTTCCCATATTTTTTCATTTACTGAAGTTAAGCTGACTGGTCCTAAAATTCCTAAATTCCTTCCTATTATTTTTTTTTATCATTTATTTTTTTTTAGGCAAAGGCAATACATTTGCCATTTCAATCTTAATTAGAGTTCTCTGCTGGTTTTCAGCACTAGTGGCTGTAAAGACAACTGACAACAGCTATACACTGACTCCATTAAATGTCCTGAGATGAGGGACAGCTGAATGGAAAACAATCAGACAAATACTGATCTCTAATGCTCAGAGGGTGTTCCTCTGTTGATGGTATTAGTTTACAGCCATCTGCTCACCATTCACCTGTTCAGTGAAGTCTGAGACAAGAAGTGCTTGGCTTCCTTGATACTATCCTTGGTTTGCACTCTCCTCAGGGGTCCACTTCACTGGGTAGTGGATCAGCCTTTGTTCTACATCCACTCATTGACAAATACTGCTAACTCTTCGATTTCTGTGTAGCCTTCTGTCAAAAAAAGGTAAATATAGCCATCCATGGTTGTAAGGATCCTTTGTAGCACCTATGCTCAGAAGAGCTCCTGAACAATGAACAATGTACAGGCTGAATATCTTACTGGCAGGACTTTCTGGTCAAGTCTGATGGAGCCTGTTGATGGTCATGTTCAGTAATGTTCTCTTTACAATATTAATTCATTTCATTTTTCCTCCTTAACCCCCTTATTTTCTACTGCAGTCTAATTAAAATAGTCTTGTTTCATTCTTTTTCATCCATATAGGTCTATTTAGCTGAACTAGACCTAGAGCAGGAGTGATTACAGCAGCTTCTTCCTAGGCTGTCTGTGGTGTCTATTTTCAATTACACGTGGCCAGGACAGAGAAAATCGCAGATCTCAAAGTTAAGTATGTGTAGTGATATGACATAATGGTTTATTTACAGATTCTTCTCTTATTCAGCATTTTTCATCTTCAGGCTCCCACTAGCTTTTTATCACTGGAGGTGCCAGGATCTTGGACATCAGTTCAGAATTGCTCTGTCAACTGGATTGATTTCTGTTGCTCATGTGGGTTTGTCAAATCTTCTTTTAGAATGGGCTGTACATGAGCGAGAATTATTTCACACTAGACTTACTGTAGCTTCTTGTTGTCACTTGGTATATACTTTTGGAAGCATGTCTATTAAAAAGATATACTTACTCTGCCTTTCCTTTTCACATTTTTTCAAACATTTTTTGAATGTCATGGTTATTTTCTAAACGCTTGGTGTTACTTTCCACAGTGATTTCTGTAATGAGTCTTCCAAGGATTTAGAGGGATTTTATACTTAATTTACCCCCTAATTTATTCAGTTAAGTCCTGGCAACCTTAAACAATAGTCAGCATTTCTGCTCCAGTGAGCATAATTCTGTTGTGTTTTTGATTGTCTTTTGGCAACATGTCCCTTGGTGAAGTTTTCTGGGACAGTTTCTGTGAGGTTAGTGAGTTTGCTGTAATCTTTGAAAGGATGTTTAGCAGTGCCCAGAGAAATATGAAAGTTTTGGGTTCTCTGCTGTAAAACTAGATTTGCCATAAAAAATATTTCTAACCAGCTCAGCCCTGAGAAGCAAACTGTATCCCATTCTTACAGAAAATGGTGAAATTGAGTTTTGATCCCAAAGCACCACTGCTTGTTTTTGTCAAATCAGAATACTGTGCTGAGCACACATTTAAAGAGTGCACAAGAGCATGGCTTGAGGATCACAAGGGGGTAGTTCCCAGATGCACTGTGCCTTTGAGAGGAGCCTGTGTGTGTCACAGACGGCTGTGTTTTCACAATGCTGCTGCTAATACTATCAAAGTAGCATGTGGGAAGCAAGAGCTGGAGCAGAGAGATTGTCTCCTGCTTGTGTTCTCTGCTGGACCTGCTGATGTCCCACTGGGGCACTCAATGATTCCCTGCTGAATGTTTGGTGCCTTTTCTTTTCAACAGTGACAAGAGGTTGGGTATGTCATAGTATGTGAAAGCTCAGCTGGAGACATCTTGCAGTGTGCTGAGGTTCAAAAAAGTTCTTTGCACCCCTTGCCAGAAAGTATGGAATCCTGAAGGCATCCCAGAGAAAATGTGTTCTAAAGTATACCAATGTCCTTAAATTAAATCCATCTGTAAGGAACCAGATGTGTTTTCTATTCTATTCTATTCTATTCTATTCTATTCTATTCTATTCTATTCTATTCTATTCTATTCTATTCTATTCTATTCTACTGTCTCAACCTGTTAACCAAAGTTCTTAGGTAGGATTTGATAATGCATTACAGTTGCTCTTTTAAAGGGCATTTCACAGAGAAAAATAAGTCAAATATTTAGGAGAAAAAGGGAAGGAAATCTCTAACTATGTGGGCACATATTTTTATCTTTATTTTAGGTTTGCTCTTGAGAGTATCCTTGCACTGGTAATATGGCCTGTTAAAGGTTTCTGAGGTACCTGTGTGGTGCTCAGCAAGGGAAACATTGTCCACTCGGATTTAAGAAGTAGAAAATATGCTTGCCACATAACAAAAAACCAGAAGAAAAAACAAGCAAAAAAGAAACCTCCACTCTGAACCTGAGAAGAAAACAGAGGACATTTTTAAAGTACAATTGCTTTCAAGTCAACTTCATGCTCTGCTTAATGAAATATGAAAGCAGAGCGGGTGGCTACCATAACCACTGAGATTTTCATGTGCATAGATTTTAGAGGCTTGAGCATTCCATGAGTGAATCAGTTCAGAATGGATTCACTCTAGGTAGGACCCTACCAATCCAAGTTATTCTGTGATTTTGTGACTGTATTTGACTTTGATATGAACCCCATTTCACAAATACTCTGTCATTCCTTCTATTATACTCATGAACATTAAAAATCCACTACCATGCAGAATCAGACCTTCTCAGTAGATTTTTTTCCAGGGCAGTATTTTAATTAATTTAAATCATCTCAGTGGTCTGACATAATTGTACTGTGTTGAAGAGCACCTCTATAAAAATAAATCTGCACTGCCATTTGCATTAAGTCATCTCTTGCTCTATTATGTCATTTCTAACCCAGATAACAAATCCCCAAGGGCAGTGGTCATGTCTCTATTCTTTTGTAAATCACTGTGTATAGCTGTCCTCTGTTGTGGGAGCATGTTAAATACAACACATTGTAAAGGGTCCACTGAATTATGGGTTGTTGTAAGCACCAAGCTCCTATACCTGAGCATGCCAGTGTCTGTGGATGGGTTTCTGTTTATTCTGCAGATGAAGTTTCTGGTCTTGCTTCCTGAGGTGGTTTAGTCAAATAATGAATATTACCTAAATGTTCTGTACAGAGCCTATGAATGGGCCAGTATCACTTTTCCAGAATTATTGAATTACAAATATCTGAGTGATACTTGAATGAAATTTGTGTTAGACAGAAATCTGTTTCTGCGAGAGGTAGTCCTTGTCTTAAGGAGACACATCTTTCAACTGTAGAGGGCAAGAGAAGAGAGATATCATTAACTCTCCTTCACAGGGGCACAGGGAGGTTAAGGTATGTATCCAGAGGACAGAAGGACCTGCAAAAGGACAAGCTGCCCTCTTGTTGGATTCTTTTGATGAGGAGATAATGGAGTAATTCAGTTGCAGTCTTCTCAAGCAACAACTGAAACACAAATTCAAGCCAGGGAGAATATCCATGGAGATGCACGGTGGGACAGGAGCCCTCTCAGAGAGGAGTAGCTGTCCTGGGACTGGGAATCCTCTGCTGTGCTCGTCCACTGTTCAATACAGTATTGAACTGGACATCTACTGCCAGAGACACAGAGGGATCTGACACAGCAATGTTCAGCATCCCAGTGCCTGCCAGAGAAGGAGGTGGCTGTTGGAGTCCACTCCTTACATTCACACATCCTCACATGCCATACCTGCCTAACATCAATCCATATCCTTCCTTTACTTTTAATTTGGAAAAAATAACTGACTGAAAAATAACTAACGTGTCTTCCCAGAAGAATTGCTGAGGTTTTATTCATTCCGTTTCAGAGACATACCAAGTGATTTCACATCCCTGTTTGGAATTGACAATATTTCTTGACTCCTAGAGGGATAAGTGCAGCTTCAAGCTGGATCTTATTTGTCAGCATAGACTTTTTTCTTGTACTCATTAATTATGTTAGCCCACACAAAAGTTATAGATAGATAGATAGATAGATAGATAGATAGATAGATTATAATAGATAGGTAGATAGGTAGATAGGTAGGTAGATAGGTAGGTAGGTAGGTAGGTAGGTAGGTAGGTAGATAGGTAGGTAGGTAGGTAGATAGATAGATAGATAGATAGATAGATAGATAGATAGATAGATAGATAGATAGATAGATAGATAGATAGATAGATAGATAGATAGATAGATAGATAGATAGAAACAAACACATAAATCTAGAAACATCCTAACGTCCTTTTGGAAACACATACAGAGCAAGTGTAGCCCAGAACATTTAGCAAGTATGAGATACTACTTTCAGACTAGGTCCTAATGTGTATGGGATACAAAATAATTTACATCTACAGGGAAAGAGCTAATCACCTAGAGCTAAATCTGCAACAGGGTGTTGGCTCTAAAAGCCTGTCTTTTAGATGTTCTTACACATAGAATTTTTCATGTGGCTGGCACAAAAATCCAGCCTCACCAAACACTGAGAGAATTAGAAACCAAAAAACAAGGCTCCCAGAAGGTATCAAGCTGCATGGGGAAGCCCCGAAACTGACGGTAGAAAATGCAAAGAAAGGTCAAGTCTAAATTTATCCCATCAGAGTTAAGCCAGATTTCCCTGCACAATGAGTCTTTCCAACTATACTGGCAGCAATCATCTGAGTGTAATTGCTGGGGGGACATGGTGGTTTTAGAAAAGGAGAGCCCACCCTTAAAATATTCTGACTGGGGAAAAAAGATTTCTTCACATGAAAAGCCAGGAGATGACTTCGTTGGTTTCACTGATTAGAAAAAATACATTATTCTGAACATAATACCACTTCTTCTAATGTGTTTTTCTAGGGTTGTGTTTTTCAGCATCATTTAACTTGGTTCTATCAAGTACAGAATAAGGATGAGTTTATATAAAGTTCTAATTCTACTTAGTCATGAGATTTCTAAAGTAAGATTTATGAAGAACAGTAGTTATCTTTTATTAAACTGAATCACATACACTAGGTATCTATGTGACCTAGGAAGGGTCTAATAAATATATATATATATATATATATTTTAATTATCTTTCAGACTTTCAATCTAAACATAGACAAATATAATGAAATAGAATAACCACTGATATTTTAGTTTTGACTGCAACAGCAACACAAGATGAGCATTATGTCAAATAACTATGAATTAATGACCTCTAGAAATACCTTGCTCTACACAACATTTCATGGTAAGAGCACTGAATATGGAGGACATACTGTCCAAACTGAGAAAGGGTGACAGCCAGACTGAGAGCTCTGAAAACCATTTCAGGCTTCTGGTCATGGAGAAACAGTTCCTGTACGCCTAGGACAGCACTTTCTAGGCACAGAGATTGTTATGCTTTCTTTTCTGGTGACTCTGCTCTTCAAGGTGGCCTTCTTCTTAAAAAGTGCATAAGCATAGACAAAACAGTGCATAAATATAAATATTTGACCAAAAGAAGGAAAAATAATTTGTGTCAAATAGTATACCAGAATGCTGTCTTCTGTAAAAATTCTGCACAGGAACACAGCAGAGAGGTTCCTGCTGCATCTCCTAGAAATTGCTGTTGGATTGTCTCCTGGAGAATAATTCTATATGAAGGTTGTCCTACTAATCTGTAGCTCACATAAAATTTCTGGCACGGTTTCTTATGCCTGGCAGGATACCTTAGAGGACCAACTCAGTAAGTCAAATTCCACAAGGAAGTAACTTGCACTGTCACAGGTGACCCATCCTCTAGGTGTGGGTGCTTCCATGTGTTTGGTGTATTCTTGGCAAGGCAGAGTTTGGGAGGGGAGACAACAGCGAGTCTTATGTGGCTGTTTAGGATGTTCTCACTCTCTGGATGTCTCCCATGGCAGCAGATGTGCCTCGCTGGCTTTAGCCCATCCCACCCAGCCCTTCCCTGGTGGCTGCAGCAGAGGGGCTGGGCTGGCAGACCCCTGGCATGTGTCTGTGCTCTGCTAATTCTGCTCAGAGGTCACAACTCGTGGGCTGCAGCAGATGGGCTGGGCAGTAACCCTGCAAGTCACTGCAGTCCTCTCCCCAAGCTCAGAGGCTGTGGAAAGCAAATGAGAAAGTTCTGGTGGAAAGGCTGGGTCGAGACTTGCTTCCAAATGTGCTTAAATATTTTCCAAATGTTCTTTTACACTGCTTGTGTGGCTGCATTCACCTTTCTGATACAGCTGACTTGCCTGTACATCTTGCTGGGAGAAGAGACAGGGTCAAGTAATGATGTCCACCCTTCTTGGAGTTTAAAAGGTCCTTGCCTGGTAGTCACTTTTGTAACCCCAGGGAGTAAGACACAGCACAAATCACACATATGAAAGAGATTTAAAAGAGTAAAGAGCTCAAAGAAGTTTGGATAAATACACAAAGTTTAGATTCTGATCCAAACCTCTCTGGTTTGCAAAATGAATTTGGAAGCATCACAAGAGCAAAGTCTGGTTTTTTTCAGCTCTGGAGTTTCTGGTTCTGACAAGAGTTGGGAATTGACAAGATTCACATAAACAAGGAAGGGTTATCTGAATCTTCTCAGGACTCATGAGAAATACTGAATCTGAGCCTGTCCAGCTAACCCCACTGGGTAAGGTTATCTAATCTAGCAGACAAGCGGTTGCTATTTATTATTTGTATTGTGTTAAGCTTGTGTCTTGCCACGGATTGAGAGAGCTCACCCTAAAATGGTGATCCAAACCTGCAAGAGATTGACAAATGGCAGATGTAATAACAACTCTGTAAGTTACCTGCTAAAAAAACTTAATTTTATAAGAATAAAAAGATCAAATTTCTAGCCCATAGTCAACTGTTTTTAAGCACTATACCCTATAAAGGAATTATGAGTCTTAAACAAAGACAAGAAGAAAAATTTCTAGGTTTTCAAGGTACACCAGCTTCAGACCAGGATCCAGGCTTTATGACCAGGAAAGGAGGAACATGGCCCTTTCTGCTGTACATGAGAATTTCAATAGATAATTTGATATTAATACCAATCTTTGAGATGCTGCTTATGTAAAACTGTTTCTAAAAGCCACTAGCAAGTGTCTCTGCTGCAAATCCCCCATTAAAGCAAGATATGGGTCTCACTAGATAATCTTTCCAGCCCCCCACTTTCCAGCAGCTCATTTCCAGATCTGAACTTTGGAGATGACCCCTGTCTTTATGATGGGCCAAACCAAAAGCCAGATCTGAACACCGCTGAACTCTGGGAAAGTTCAAATCTATCGTTTGTGGTTCAGGTTGAGCTCTAATTAAAACAGAGCAGTTAGAAAGGCAAATGTCTTCAAACCAAACCAAATCAAATGTTTCACGTGAAAAGTTTTGGATCAGGCTATATGGTACCAAGTAGTGTTTTTGTCTATCACATGATGTCATGTTCTTCTGGTTAACACAAACTAACAGCATGCACATGCTGCTGTATGAGATATTCCATGCAGACACTTCGAATCCAACTTGAAGAAGACAGTATTCATGAAAATGCTTTCATGATGTGCAAAACCCCACCAACAATCTTCCTGCCACTCAGTTCTGAGGGTAGGCTGCCACCTTTTCAAACTTTCTATGCCCATCCCTTCCAGCACAGTAGTCTAGGGTCTCTCAAAACACAATGTATTGCATTCTCTGAGAGAAGGCTATGCTTCATTATGTTAGCAGTATGTGGAATATTGCCACTAATCCCTGAAAACAAACAAGAAGGGAGTGCTGCTTCAGTTGCATAAGAGGGCAGGGAAAACCTAGCTAAATCTCCTGCTCAGAGCTTCTGTTTATGTTATAGTTAATACTACAGTGTAATAATCAACATGGTTGATCAGTGGACAAGGGAAAAGCAAACAAAAGGGGAGGGAACTTGGTTTCACCATTACTGAACTGCTGAAGTGAACAAAAACAGGAGACAGCAAGGAGAAAGTGAAAGGGAAAAAGGGAAAAAGTGTTAATGCCCCATCTCTGGTGTCAGGATATCACAGTGCTCCAGTAGTAGAAAAAGAGGGAACTCAGATGGGAAGATTTACACAGAGAACCACAGCGCACAATCAATAAGTAACCTGAATTTACTCTCCCTGTGGGCTTTATTCTCTCCCTTTTATGTTATATATAAATACCAAAAATCAGTATTTTCACGTTGTGAAATTTGACTGGACAATTACCTAAGGTTTACAAACTTCCCTCTTCTGCAAACCAAGCTAATAATCCTACTAGGCCTCTTCTACTGAGATTTTTCACTATGTTTTTTTTCAGGCCTGGACTCACTTTTTTGGGAGACCAGATTCCTCCACGACATTTCTTTCTTTTCCTTTTTCTTTCCTCTTTGAGTAAGAAGACTTTAACAGCAACCAGTTTTGTTTAAGGATACATCCCAAAAGTTTAAGTGGAGGTAAGTCCCCAGCCATTTCAGTTCCTCACTGAAATTAATCATCTTTACTTTCCAGAGAGTGTGGTATGAAGTGACTTGCTCAAGGTCACAAGAAAAGGCACAGTTTGGAGCAGAGAACAAATCCATTATCTCCAGGTCCACACTTTCACCATAAAATGATTGTTCTTACATTGAACTAGGAGACACCGGTATGTGAAAAAGGCTAGGGAGGAAATGGTATTGAGCTTTTCAACGTCATGCCTTCCTCTCAGCTTAGATAAAGAGAATGAAAAATTATTTTATCCATTCTGCATGAATACTTTTCAAGTTAAAGAATATTCAAATGTTTTCACTCAGGAAATTTTCAGTTCATTTTCACTGGTGAACAATCTTTCTAATTAATCATTCTTAGCAATATGCTAAATTCTGTTTGTGGCATCATTTTAAACACACCATAACAACAGAAAGCAGAAGACTCATCTAAGCAAAGGAATGAGACACAATATTTTCTTCTGCTTAAGTTTTGTGATGTTCATGAAATAGGATTTCCAGGAACCTAGTTATTACTTTAGAATTTTCTTTAAAGCAAGGAATGGAAATAGTACCTGTTTATGTGCTGCACATGATAATGTATTGATATCCAGAAAATCTAGTTGAAAGAATCACATGGTCTTTTGTCATTGTGATAAATATGGCAGTAAATACATGCTTGTTGATTTGTGCTAATCCTTCTGAGTGTGGAGGACTCAAATGCTTAGGAGTGAGAAGCAGCCAGAGAATAAAACCCACCAGACGGTAAAGTTCACCACCTTTACCATGCACTTAATTAAATATCCTGTCTGATTCTCCCTGAGATAGTGGCATTAGCAAATTTCCAAACTATAGACATCAAAATTATCCTTCAGAAATGCACTGACAGGTACCCATCATTGATAGCCAGAACTGCCTCAACTTAAAACAGCAATGCACAGGTGTTCAGTGCTGGCCACTTCTGATTTTGGATCCTGTCATTGCCCTTCATCACTATCAATTTTTCCTGCTTCTGGTCCATCCCTTTTTCTTCCCTTCTTCCCTCACATGATTTTATAGGTTCTGCTTCACTCTTTCCCACTCCCTCATCTCCCTGGCCAGGGAGTTGAAAGGCTTCCATCACAAAGATTGAAAACATACTCCATACTAAATGTAACAGGATAGGACGACCAGCAGGTCCATGTTTCAAACACATTCAATTTATATCACAGCTGAAAGTAAAGAGCAGGGGAAGCTACTTGGTGGGTTGCTGGAGGCTGTGGCTTTCATTTTTTGTGTAACATGTCTCTGTCACTTGCTAAATAGGTGCACCATCTGGTGGTAATTTTGGACTCCCACTTCTTAAATTTCCAAAGAGCAGTGGTGGAGCCTGTGGTTGCAGCATATATTTTTGGGTTTTGTCATTATCTGTCTAAAAGTCCTTAGCTAAGACAACTTTTGCAGGTACTATGGGTGGTTGAGTACTGAGTTGGTAGGACTTTAAGTAGGGATCATGTTTCCATGTCTGCTGTGTGGGGCAAGCAGGTAGGATTTTATCAGAGGACCAAATGCACCCCTGAGAAGCTATATACATAAAGATAGAAAAATTTCAATCATAAAGAGAAATTAGGTATTAAGAGAGTCTAATCTCCCAGGGCAGGCAATAGGGACCATTGTGCAGTCAAATTAAGATCCAAATCACCCTCTGGAAGCATTTCTCCCTCTCCTTTGACCATACAAGGAATACAGCCTGACTAAGTTCCTATCTCAGACATCTCAAGCAAATGCCTGGAGCTGTGTGATGTGAAACTGGGACAAAGGAAAGAAGTGAGGAAGGGGCTCCTCATTTTTCTGCCTTTGTCTGAAACCCTTTAAATCAGCAGCAGAGAGAAACCACTTCTACCTCTTGTGCCATTCTCCTCAGGAACTGCAAGGTTGCACTGACCATGTCTGATGGTACTTACAATGGAGATCTCTTCTGAACAAGAAGGCTGGAGGCTGAATCAGACAGAAAATGAGTTTCCACATTTTGGTGAAGAAATGAGTGAACATGTAAAAATAAGTCGTGATCCATGAATAAATTTTTTTGTTTTAGCAACCTGAATAAAGCAGTAAAGTCTACAGCAGCTCTGTGGGTGTCTGTTGAGCTTTTATCTAGAGATAGCAGTGCCTTCTCCCAGTGCACCAGTGAGCTGCCTGGGGTGAGAGCAAACTAAAAAGACTCCTCAGTAATTCAAGCCCATTTAAGTGACACTGGCTAAGTCTTAGGAATCATCCTTCTCATGCAACCCCAGAATTGGAGGTTGAACCTCTGCAGTGGAGAGAGCATTGCAGATAGCAAGATATTACACTTGTGGCTAAAAGCAGTCTCCTATATCCTCTCCAAGTGGATCTGGAATGGGCAGAAGGACCCATCGTTGGCTTGATCTTGCATGCTGGCTTTCACTATGACTTCCATATTCTGCAAACCACTTGGTTCTGCCTTTAAAATGAAACACTTTCAAAGCCTCTTTAATTGAACTTACAATGGAAGGTTTAAAGTTAAGCACGTAAAAAAGCACAGCTGGAGTCAGTGGCCAGTTTGAATCCTGAGAGAATGACTACCTTAGTACAATGCTAGATTCACTTTTTCAAGCCTCCAAATAATAGATTATAGAGTCCTCTTGCTTGCTTGCTTTATTTTATTTTAAATTTTCCTTTTCTATCAGCAACAATAATACTATACTTCATAGTATGAACATCAGTAAGAAATAAACTACAGTCATGCACAATTTAATCCAATGCCAAAAGGTTGATGATATGATACACACAAAGGAAATTTTGTCAATTAGAAAATGAGGTATTTGTCAGATGTAATATTTTGCAATACACCAGCCACTTTGTTAGGAAAAGAAATTACTCGTGACTGGAGGCACGATGGCAAACTGCATGGATCAGTGATCTAATCCTGAATGCTAAAATACTTGTTTGCAAAGCAAAATGTGCAGATAAATGCTGTGGGTTCTGTAATGTTCGTACATGCTTCTCTCTGCATTTCAAGCTTTTCAATTTAGATAGTTTACCAAACAGAACCTACCCCTAAGAACAGAGGAGGAAAGGGAGGGATGCTGCTACACATGTAACTCCGAAGTCTAATGTTATGTTTAGCCTGTCTTGCTTGATGTAGAGGTTGGACTAGATGACCAAACCTATCATCTGTAATTCTAGGGAAGAGATTTTGACAATGCACTTAACTGCAGTAGTAAAGCTCAGGGAATCTCCAAAGTCATTAGAATCCTAAGTTATTGGATCACACACCAGCAGGTGCTGTCCTGCACTCCCTGTCACCCTCCATAAAGAACTTCCCCTGCAGTGGCAGGGTTTGGCAGCACCTGCTTGTTTGCAAAGTTGCTCTGTACTTAAAAAGTCAAATGTTGTATGGTTGATTGCCATTTAACTAATTGGGTTTTAGCCCACTCACTCAATGAAATTCAGCTTCACTTTCAAACTTCTGCTCATAACCAAAAGCCAGGAGACTTTTTAGTGGTTCTGGTGAAACCAGAAATCTGGCAAAATTTCTACTGACAGCAGCAGGACAAGAACTTGGCCCCCGTCCCTTTGGATTAAGCTGAGTCCCACTTTATCTGACTTTTAATGTCATTTGCCTTCCAGGTTTAAGCATGCATTACAGTGTAAGTCATTGACCAGTAGGACTGGGATGCTGAAATAACCAATGAGTCAGTGTGCTATGGAACATTTGTACTCAGAAATTTTATTTAAAAGTGATAAAAATGACATTAAATGAACAATAATGTTCCTTGGAGGCACTCGGAAGTAAGGAAATGCCAAGCTTAAAGCTGCTATACAAAGTTAGCCCTGTGTCCAAGCTTTGGTACAGTGTTCAGCAAAACCATAGCCTAGAATTTGCACACTATCTTTTCCAGAGGAACTCTGACTGACTCATCCCAAGGGAAACCAGAAAAGTAATATGGAAAATATTACTCTGGATAGCTACAGACAAAGCTAAAAGAGAAAAGGGGGACTTTTTTTTTCTTGCCAGCGCTGAGCAGGAAACGATCATCACAGACCCAAGGCCCCATCACATGTTCCTGTTTCCTTTTCACTGCACCTAAGTACACAGTAGGATGACCAAATGCCAAAACTTATGAATACCCACTCTTCTCCCCACAAAATATTTCTTTTCCATACTGATACTTTAATGGAGCAATTCCATACAGTAAAAACCATCCATTTTGTTTAGCTAGTGAACCATGGAAATGATGTTTTAAACCCCATCCCCATGTCAGTCCATTGGTTTTTCAGGAGATCTGAGGTTTAGGGTCACAGGAAGACAGTATGTTGTGCTATATGATGTTTCCTACCAAGCTGTGCAGTGTTATGGGACCTTGCATCCCAGAATACCCATGGAAGCACATGAGAGCAGAGTTCAGGAAATCCAGAGACTTGAGTCTCCCAAGTTACAGATCTTGGCATTAATTTACATCAATGCATGGAACAAATTTAAAATTAAGTGCTCTGACAACAAAAATGGAATTGCTCACAGTCAGGTATGTCAGTGTATTTAAATTTGAAAATGTCTACAGAAAAGCACCAGTTCCAAGAAAATCTTCACTTTTATATGAAATGGAATGAAACAGAAGCCCTTTCCTTAAAATGGAAATTCCAGAATTCATTCAGATCAATAACCACCATTCCTCATCCAGCTGCAAGCCACACACAGCTCACCAAGTAATTGTATTACCATATTAATACTGTGTTTGGAATAATGATATCTGCCTTTTACAGAAAATTTGCTGCCAAATAAGTAATATTTAAATTTAAATGGCAACAAGAACATTTTAATTTAAGAGAATTTTTAATATTCTTCACACTCATGACCCTTGAGGGAAGAAAAAACACAATTGAGCTATACTTGAACTAAACAGTAAAACCGTACAAAAAAACAAGGAAGACAAGGAGAAGATAAATCGAGATATATAAAAATCTGTCTCTTCATGGCTGGAAATTATTATATGCTGCATACTATATATGCTTTTATTTCTTTTATAGAAAGACAAAAAAAATAAATATTATAAAATTAATGTAGCAAACTGACAGTTTATCTAGTAAAGTAAAACAAAATTTATTTCGGTCAACCCATAATTTACAAATGGTACTGTCCATTTAAGTTTGTCTTTTCCTCTATGATTTACAATGTATTTTGAAAACATTACTAAGGCTTCCCTGAATCATTTTGAGGTTCTGGCGTCTAAGAAATTTTTAAAGCACAGAGAAATTATCACCCACAAATGTTCAAATGGATTCACCAAGCTGGGAATCCTCCATCCTGTCAAAATAGGATGTTTCTTCAAAACATCACTTTCTCAGTATAAAAATACATTTTTCTTTTTCTAAAAACATCCACGTGACAGACATTAAGAGTCTGAACCTACCTCTCCCACAATAGCCTGTCTCCCCAGTTAAAAAAATACAAATTCTTAGCACCTTAGTGGTTTCATAACTTTTTTTACTGCTCCTTCACAACCTCAGCTTCCTCCAGCTGGGAGGGTTTATTTTCCTATTCTGGTTTGGGTTACTGTCTTACTTTGTTACTTGTGATAGTAGAAAGCTTATCCACCCTTCTACAGTAAGAAAGTATGAACCATTTGAATCAGCTCCTTAATTTCCCCCAAAGATGATAATGCAAACTGAAATGCCCTCTCACATACTTTGCCTTGTAATTGCTACATTATCACACCTTTTCTCCAGTGTTTGGCTTCCAACTGAGATGAAGTGAACTGAGGAAACTGTTCTGCTAAGGCAGGCTGCCTTTGAGGACTTTTCTCACTGCCTGTAGCATAACTCAGACCAGCATGCAGGGCTTTGGGTGGAACAGCTCAGCTTTGCCTCTGTAAGGCAACTTGTGGGACAGACACTGACACACCAGAGTCCTTCTGCAGTAATATATAGCTAATAAGTGAGAACAAATAGACTGGACATTTTAAAGGTTAAACATATTTTAGTTTCTCCTTCCAGCAACAGCATGCCAGTTGTGAAAATAAAGGTGCTGTTTGAGACATTTTAAGAGAAGGCTTTGCAATGACTGTTTGAACAGTGGTAAATCCTTCCTGCAAGATGAGCATGTGAAAGAAGTCCACAGATTTTGGGGGTTTTACCTCTTTTACCTCCGTGCCTGCCTCTACCTGCCAGCCACTTACCTAGCTGGAGGTTCATAATACATGTCTTGTTTTTTGGGGTTTTTTTATTCAGGCTAATAATGAAAAAACTCTCCCTGTCCAAATAACCAAGAAATATACACCTTGTTATGCACCACTGTGCTTCTACTAAGAGTTATGCTTGCTTAAGTCACAGATCATTAAATTTTGCCATGGTATTCATACTTAAACTAAATCAAACGTGCAAATGCAATGACTCCACATGGCATCTTGGGAAATGGACATCAGCAGGCACTCCAAGTTGGCTACACGAGCAATAAAGACACCGTCTGTATTGATCCTCCATCATCTTCTGGAGCTGCACACATCCTTAGTACAGATTGCAGCCAATTGAATGCATCCTGTGCACCTCTCTCCTGGAATCCCTGACTGCCTGCTGTACTAGGAGCTGAAAGCTGATGCCATGCCCTGAGAAGCCACCCCTCACACTGGAAGTTTTTTTTCACTATATTCTAGCACCAACAGAGAACTCCAGTTCAAATTACTGAAAACAAATCTTTTTCTGCTCAGTTGCTTGAAAGCTCAAAGGACATTGTTGTCTGGGCCCATGCTACACGACAACAACAAAAAACCCCAAATTTTTCCACATTAGGTCCAAAAAGCCACTGTGCAATTGAGGTTCCCCATAGCTGACAAATGCCTAAACCAATCATAGCACCTACTGCTATGACAAAGATAATTACTGCCTTTCCGTCAGTGAAGTGTGTACCCTGCTCTGTATCATATTTAAAATAATCTAATTCCAACTAATTTTCTCCCTCCAAATTGTTTCCAGCTGTACAATTCGGGTTTTTCCTCATATTGTTTTTATTGGATATAGTGCAAGTTCGTAAAGATAGATTTTCCCATAATAAATACACAGATGTTAGAATAATAAACATACAGTCAACCTGATA